ATTTAGAGCAACTGCAGACTTTTATTTCCTGAAGCTTCTTTTTTCTAATCATGCATTATGCAAACGAATGGGGTGTGGTTGTAGTTCGGGCAGTGTCTCTGTGCGAATTTGGCACAGCAGTGCGTCCCAGATTGCATTTCACACCAACCAACAGCAGCGGCAGAAAATAAAACTAACAGTTCTAAAGATTTATTTCCCAGACATATTTATTTATGTGTTTACTCATGTAATTAATATTTATTCATGTATTTAAGGATTACAAAACAACCGTTGAGAATCTGTGAATCCAGGGTCCTGTGTGCTCCATATACATTTATCCTTTCACTATTGTCATACATGAGAGGGGGAAAAAAGGGACACATACACACACGCACACATGCACACACACACACACACACACACACACACACACACACACGCACAGCTAAGTTTATAGTATGTTGAGACAGACTGTGCTATTTGCATTGTTCCTATTCTGGTTTGAAGGAGTGCAATCACTGTCAATCTCAATTTCAGTCTCTTTTTTTCCTTAAAAATCATTAGTGGTGTGTCTCTGTGGGTCTCTCTGTTTAATTAATTTGATGTTCTAACTTTAAACGATCACATGTGGAAAGAATGACTATGTGGTAAAAAAAAAAAAATTTGAAAAATAGGACTGTAGTAGTTATTGTAAATGTGAAGATGAAACTCAGAAACTGAAATGAATTCCTGCAACATCATCAAATTCATTAGTGGCTTACAATGTAAGAGAGAAGGGGATTACTTTACTGATGTGTAATCCCTTTCAGAGACTTCCTCCCCTACTCTTCTTCAGTTTCTCCCCCACCCCCTTGTTGCCCCTCTGTGTCTGTCTGTGAGGTTAACCACACAGACAGCAGGGTAAAGGTTGCAATCACGCTCCCAGTGAACAGTTCACCAGACACACGTGTTCACATACTGAGCTTTAGGATGAGCCTGTCCTGGGCAGCGCAGGAGCCATCTTAACAAGAGGGCCCCCACTCCCCCCCCCCCAACCCCCCAACCACGCTTCTTGTCCTTCCCGGAGCCTGATTACAACCTACTGGCAAGCAGATTAAAACCCCTCCCCCCATTCAGTCCAACGCTTCCCCACTCCACAAGCCTCTGCCGCAGCCAGTCACAGTCTGCACATCTGGGTCCTAATCAGACAATCCCAAAAATAGACAAACAATTGTGGGTCAAAATGGATGTGCAGATGGGAAGAGAAGGAAAGAGAGGCTAACAGGCATAAAGATGCAAACTGTAGGAGTGAAGAAGGTAGGCTGATGTCACATGGCACATATTAAGTAGTCCAAACTTCACCACACATATTCTGACATGGTACTCAACATCTGGATTTAGTGACAGAGGGATTTGTTTATATGACTGGACAGTCTGTCCACTGTGGCAGGACTAAAGTTTGACCTTTCATTATCATTAACCTGCTGCAAGGGAACAATTGACATACATGAGGAGCACTGCATGGTTTACCTGCATATAAATAGTGAAAAGAGATTTTCTGCCAGGAGAAAACATTGAACCAAAAGCACGGCAAAGTGAGAGCCTGATGCTGTAAGGTAAGGAGGAGAACATGAAGGGATAGTACATGGGAGAGAGGATTATTAATTAAAAATAAAAACAGCAAATCTGTTAAGGACAGGAATTAAGGGACAGAATACAGAGGGGGAAAAGAAAACAAAACAGAAATTCAGTTCTCCATTAACTGAAACTAAAAGGCAATTACTGATTTGGCAGAGTTTGAAATTATTAGCACAACAGTTATTTTTTCCACAGAGAATGAGCTATAAGTTAATTAGAGGAAAATGACACAGTAGTAACAAATACGTTAATGTTTTCTGTTGTTGAATAAACTGTATACTTTAACAGGTCCCTGCATGAATGCATTCATTAAATCAATTAATTCATTAGAGAAGAAAAGCATTTTTTTAAAAGCCAGACTTATTTTCTCTCACAAAGTCCTCATTCATATTACTTAAACGACTAAGTATTACAATATCTCTGCTTGAAAGCCAGTGTGGCTTCCACAGGAAGTGCACACATCTCCTTACAGCTTGATGCCATTAAAAAAAAAAAGCTCTGGTTGCTGTTTTCATTTTATAGAGAACAAATGCACTGACAGAGTCAAATACCAAGGGCGCCTTGAGGTGGGCAGAGTAAGAAGATTTATGAGTGAGAAGATAAGAGATGTGCTGTTGAGGGAGGTGGAAATCCCTGCTCAAATCAAGAGCATCCCTGGATGACAGTGAGCGGCAAAGGGAGGAAACAACAGCACCCACGTTTACCCTTACCCTTCAAAACCACAACAGTTCGTAAACATTCAATCTCACCGGCTATTTCAACTATGACACAGTGGATAATTCAGTTCACAGACTATGGTCTAATCAGAGATCATTTGTGAGCCTCATAATTATTTCTGTCTCTGCTGCCACTCAAATTACAGGCTGCAACCACATCGATAATCAGCATAAAAAGTCTGACATGGTGAGAAAAAATTACCGTATTTAAACAAATATTCAGAGAAAAAACAACAACCAAAAACGTAATTTTCTAGGACAGCATATGAATTCACAGTATGCGAATGTGCAGAAACTATGGGTGTTATGGTTCATGTTTTAATCTGAATCCTTTGATGAAAGACATTTGATTTGGTCTATGCCTTCGGTTTGTATGATAGTCTTCATATTCAGCGCAGATTATTGTAATGTGTCAGGTTTATGCTTGCTGTAGCATGCTTCTAAGTCCTTCTAGCCCTGAAAGTTGGACAAACATTACAAAATTTTGCTGCTTTAACACACATTACATGTTTCCATCGACTTTCCTGTATGGCCCTAACCTGCAACTTTCCAGCTCACACCGTATGGGGTTGATCAACATGTGGAGCTCATGCAAGCACAAATCTTCTGTGTGGGCAGTGTCCTCAGTATTGATGCAAACAGAGTAAGGTATCATTACTCTGTGCAAATCCAGAGCTGCAATTGAAGGCCTGGCTTTAATGATTAATTAAACAATCATGACTTGTCTCAGTGGACATGTTTTAACTTATGAGTAAACAATTTAGAGCTTTACTATAGAACATTACTGACAACTGTTTTTATTGTATGATATCGTTTTCTAATTGATAATATGTTAGCACCAACTTAACTATTTAAGTAGCAGCTATGGACAACAAGTTTGTAGGTGGACATCAATAAATACTTTAACAAGTACATAGCAAAGACCGTGTTGAAACATACACAGATTCCACTGGTCACTGAAAGTAGTGGCATATCCCTTCTTTACCTTAACACACCTGGAGTTCATAGACAAAACCTTTAAGCACACAAGGTCTGACACAATGAGATGTGATGGGTTGATGCGTTGATTTCTCTGAAACTCACAAATGCACAGCCTAACTTTTGGAACCAGAGCATTAAATCCTGAGAAATTCTAATAACCAGAAAGGGCAAACTATTTTAGCATTAATATATACACTCAGCAGTCGCTTTGTTAGTTAGACCTGTTCACATATATATCAGGAAGTGGCATACACAAAACTTAACCACAGTAAAATAAAGAGTTATGCCACAAATATGTTCAATTTTATACAGAAATCAGAATTTACAATGTCTTTCGATATGCCAGAGTGTGCAGTTTGAGGAACCAAAGATCACTCTGCACAGCGGAGGGTTCCTGCTGCAGAGCTCTGTGTTTATAGAACAAAGAGTAAGGGGTGGGCAACTTTGCAGGGAGGTTCTAAGCTGCCCAACTAAAACAGTACTGGTATTTTCTGCGCTATTTTTCATTTGCTGAACATTTAATTTATTGCTTTACTACTTTACTGGGTTGGCATGACAAAAAAAAATTCTGCTGGGCTAAGCAGTGTATTTCTTTAAAATAACTCCACCAATAACTAACATCACTGCAGCACACTGTAATGTTTGAATACTGGGAGGGATAAAAGAGCACCATAGAGCAAATGTCCTCAAGCAAACATGTTTCCTGAAGCATAGTTTAATTTACCTCAAGGTTACTGAACCTAAAGCACTAGTTGTACTGTATGTTCACACTGTATGAGATGTTTATAAATCAATACGGTTTAAATCAATAGTATGTTTGTATACAATAGCCAATATAATAAAAGAAATTATCCACAAAACCATATCCCACAAGGATATTCCCCAGCTGTTATGCTTTGGGTCAACAGTTTCATCACTACACATACCAACACAGATCTATTAAATGCGGTTGAAGCCTCAATGTGAACTCATCCAATAAGGAAACCACAAGGTTCACCTTCAAAGGTTCAGCGAGTCATAAAGGATGTCATCTCTCTTCTCTTCTGTGCTAAAAAGATATCACATAGATCCAAGAAAATCTGAATTCAAAGCTGATGATATACTCTTATATGAAATGCTTTTATATTAATAAACTTGTCAAGAAAGCCTGGGAAGCAGGTACAGGATGAAACGAAGAAGGAAACGGAGTTGGGAAAAAGGGAATTTGCTTCAAGTACAGCACCTTAAAGTTGACCTGAATTGCAATATTGCAACACAGTCGGGATTTGAAGCATGTCTGTATGTGCTGCTTCCTTTAACCGTTATGTTTAAAGACATGCCGATTTTATACAGCTGGAAATCACTTTTAACTAGCACCTGCTACAAACTCAGTGAGTGGAAACTACAAAAGCCACCTTTCTAATAAACCTGAGCATTTAACTACAAGGCAAAAAATGTTAGCATGATCAGTGAACTTTAATGAGCATCCTCTTTCTAAATAATAACCTTTGAAAACAATTAACCCCTCAGGTTACCAAATACTTTATAATAATTAGCGTGATGTAGCTATGTGGAAAATTTTTTTAAAACAATGCAGGTCTGTTGTAGCAAAAAAAAAAAACAAACAAAAAAAAACATTGCCTTTCACACATTACAAGTGTCCACTGACGAGTCAGCTACAGTTAACTGAAAAGGAGGAGTGATGGCCTTAGTGCTGGCTGCTCATACCTTCTGTGTTCTGGCCCCAGCTGTGGGTTAGCAAAGAGAGGATTGCCATTCCTGTCCCCAGCCATCTGACGAGCCACCACCCCCGTCGCATCTTCCGTCAAGCCTTATTGCTTGCCCACCTGCACAAAACAAATCACCAGAAATAGTTTTTCATTCATTTGGTCAGTCAGTCTCTAAGTTACTTAAATGCACAGCTGAGACCGACCCATAGCCTAACATACATATGTATATCAGTATATGTACAAACACACGACACTCCTTTCCCAAGCAGTTGATCTTGTTACCCAATACAGCATCCACGTAAAACATTACTGAAGTAGAGGCAAACTGCTATGACTAACATAAGAGCAGCGCTGTTCATTTTTCAGGAATTTCACAGAAAACTAAAAACAAACATGCTTTTAATGTACTTAGAATACTGTGTCACTATAAGAGTGGTGTTTTAAAAGCTTGCCTCATTTCATCTTCAGCTTTTACAACTTGCATTTAATGGAATTTATTCCCCCTCCTAACGCTTTAAGCTGACCTTCTTCCTTCATTCTACTTCATGGAGCAAACCACCAACCTTTTAAAGCACCTTACTTCACATACAGTGAATACTTTTTACACATGAAGAAGAAAAAGAAAATCATGTAGCATCTAATAGCCTAACACTGCACATTGGATGAAAAAGAAGCCCCAGTCTTGTATCACGAATATTACAAACTGCAGTACAGACAACATGAGCTCAATATAGTATGATGGTGCGTGGACTACTGGGGGATTTAAAGTAAATACACATATTCTGGATCTAGTGGAAATTACAAGCAAAGCAGTGCCTACAGATTATATGTTGAGCCTTGTTGTGCCACTCGCGCACCGTACCACAGCAAACAGCATTCACTCCGAACTAAAGCAAGGTAAAGTGTCAGTATGAGGAATAGAAGGGTTCTATCTGTCTGTGCTATTTGATGTCACACCTCACTCACAAGGCTTATTCTCATTGCAGCTGATAAGCTGTGAAATCAGCTTTCATAGCATATGCTAAGGGGACAAGAGGGGGCTCACAAGCATCAACACTCTCATATCAAAGCACGCTTGACAAAGTCAAACCTCTAACTCGCACTATCAGCACCTCTCCATTTGTAATGTTGATTTCCCTTTATTTTCACCCATTTTTGTCTTTCACTCACATTGGGAAGCACGCCTTTACCTCTCACTTTCACACGAACCTGTGCAGACACGTATCTAAACACATTTTAAACAAACGCACCCGAACAATAGTTGTCTCCCACGAACACTCTCTGGACAGCCGGAGACTACTGTGGTCTCGTCTCTAATGGTGCAACAACAGGGGTGATTTCACACTGGTTTCCTATTCACTCACTGCTTTCTCATCTCTCTTGCTCCCAGTGGTGCTCCCTTTTGAAGCAGATTTGATTTCCCACATTCGTACATCTATCTTTCTTAAGAGGGCTGAGTAAGATTGCTTTGATCCTTTTCACATGAGAAAACCCAGACCTGCACAACCAGCCACCCCGAAGAGAGAAGTCATTTCTTTCGCAGCTTCTTCTTGGTTGACATGGGAACACAGTATCTAATTTACATATGCTAACAAGGATTCTCCAACTTTAATGAACAGGGAACCTGGAGAGATGCTGACCAAGTGGCGTAAAATGCCTCCAATGCTCTGTTTACGCAGCAGTACTTTCATAGTGGCCCACAAGTGACATCATCAAGTGATATCAAGATTTTCAGCAACAACGCAATGCTTTTGAAAAAGAAAGAAAAAAAAAAAAAGCTCAAACAGAAACAGTTCATTTCCACTCTGCTCCACCTTGATGCATATCATGTCCCAGTAATTCAATCACAACTACCCCCGCAAGATGCTGTAGAAATTTTTTAGATGTTTATACAGCATCTCTGCCATCCTCTCTCTTTGATGAAAAGTGATTAAACTTTTGGGGGAGGACAATAATGAGAAGATTACAATAGCGTGGGCAGAGTTGAATGAAGCAATCAGAGTTATGGATTACATAGACAGTGAAGATGTAGTTCTCTACTCCTCAGTGCAGGGGCTTTGCACTTCCTGAAAGGAAGAAAATGTGCTCGTCTCTGTTTTCTCCTCTGTTCGTGTTACTTTGATCGCCTCTCATCCAGAATAGAGTTGTTCCACCTCTTCCTGTTCATGCGCTTTGGTGCAGATCAGCTGCCAGAGATGTCAGTACTGAACAAGTCCTAAACACAACCCAGCATTGCTTCATCAGACTACAACAAACATAAACCAGTTTCAAAGTTACCCTTTATAGCAAAATGTTTAAAAACATTATATTAGAAAAATGGAAGTGTTCAATCAGGTTTTACTACTGAGACAGTCTGTATTAGAATCCCAGATGACATTTTAAGTGGTTCAGGTAATGTTTTGGTTTCTGCTGGTGACCTTATCTCCCCTCACTGTGTGGAGCCCCTCAGAAGTCTACACAAGGATGGATGCTTTTTTTTTTCTCTGTAAGGTTGGCTACATGCATTTTTGGGAAGAATTAAACAAGATTATTAACCTATTTAAGCATTTGCTTCTTTAAACCATCATGGTAGATTTGAAATATAACAATCAAGATTCATTAATGATTCAGTAATGATGATGATGCAGACCATCATCATCATCATTAACCCAGAAAGAGACAGAAAACTTTAGTACTGGCCAAATTGTCTGGTACCTTCTTGAAATGCACTGCCTAGCACAGAAATGCTAAAATGCTAGGAAGACCATTACTTTTGAGTCTCTAAAAATAAAAATAATGAATCAAAGTGTCTGTAATTTTAATTTCCATCTCATATCATTCTAAACTGTCCAAACCTTTGTTCTGCATGAGCTGTTAAATTAAAGCAAAAGTCTACCCTTAAATCACATCTTGACTGATTGACTGTATGCCACCACAATGGATTTTAAAAGGCAAAATTACAAAACAAAAGAAGAAATTCAAACCTTTATAGACTCACTGTAAATTATTGTTATTAATATGTATTTCTCTTTGTAGATACAAAAGGAAAGATAACACTTCTGTTCAATTTATTCTATATAAGCACATTTTGTAACAAACAAAATGATTTGATTATAGGTTGGTCACCAGTAGGGATGGGTATCGAAAACCGGTTCTTGTTGAGAACCGGTTCCCACTGTTTCAATTCCTTGGAATTGTTTGCCATTTTTGCAAACGATTCCCTTATCGATTCCAGTCGCCCCGAATGACGTCACCATGTTGCGGAGCGTCATTTACCTGGTAGGAAACATGGCGGCTAAGTGGCTCAAATGCTCAAAAGCTTGGGGATGACAACAGGGCAACTTACAATACTTGCAAAGTAGATATTTCATTTAAGGGAGGAAACACTGCGAATATGCAAAAGCATTTGCTCACAAAACACACAATAACCTTAAGTGAATGTCATGTTTTTAATTCCGCTCCGGACTCATGAATCTCAACCCAGCAGCAGCGGTAACGTTTGCACGTGCTCTCCCGTTAAT